CTTTTAGGCAATAACCGATTTTTATTACATGCAAATAAGATTTTTACAAATTTTGTCTGTCTGTCTGTTTGTGCTGGCTATCTATGAAATAGCTGAACCGATTTTGGCGGCACTTTTACTAAGGAGTTACATGGGCCCTTTTTATTTTGGAAAATTGAAACAAAGAAAAGTTATGATGAAGTCGCGGGCAACAACTGGTATGATATGAGATGTAATATTCAAAGATTGACAAGTAGATTACTTGATGGGAGCCGTGCCTTACTTGACTGTTAAGTGTACCTATGTATGTATGTACCTTTATTCTTTAGTAATACTTGTCCGTAAACAAAAGCAAAGGCACTATTCAAAACTTCGCATCATTTTGAGAATTACGAAATATAAGCCTTTTTTTTAAGGGGGAAGATAATCAAATGACTGCTCCCGCCTGGGTGAAGCGGGAGGGAGTGTCAGACTCTTACTGACTAAAAACCACCCCGTCCCTTCTCCTGCACGTCGAGCTGGAGCCCCGGTAACCCGTTAGGTTCTCCGAGACAAAATATAATGCCTTATTTTTTTTTTGTTTTTCTTTTTCTTTTTTTTTAAAGCATTGCCCCACATTAGGACTTTCGTTTTTTACTTATCATATTTATCTTAACTGTCAACCAAAGGGGTTATAGGAACCATATTGGAAAATAAGATTACTAGTTCTGTGAATCAATATCAAAGTCAAAGTCAATTTATTTCAAGTGGAACCCGTTAAAACAGAAATAATAATAAAAGTATCGTATATTCGAATCGAGATTTCTTATCGAATTTAAAATTGAAGTTCAAGTTCATACTCTTCATGGATTTTCATAAATTGACGCATTGAAAGGGCAAAAATATTTAATCGAAATAATTCAACGTCGAGCTGTGATAAATGTTGTTTATTTTGTTAAAACGAAATGACTTATTGAAATTATAAAATTGTGAAAATTTTACCCAATAAATTGATATCAAGTGTGAGAATGTGCAGAAGGTCAATTCAATTCAAGTTCAGTATTTTCTTACTCCTGTTGTGGTTTTATTTGGAAGGCACGTTCTTTTCCTTAACACGTCAAACGCCATGGGGGTCACCGGTGACCGCCGTAAGCGGAGGATTTAACTTCAACAGTTTTTTATTGGAAGTCAAAGTCTTAAGATTCTTAGTCCCATAATATTGATATCTAGTTGAGACGACGCATGATATATGTCAAAAGACAGCTCAAATCGATGTCAATAAATCAACGGATGACGTCACAAAATCCGTCGGAAAGAAAATACCAACAAACAACAGCTGTTTGGCAGGAAGTACGCCAGGTACGGACACCTCGCCTGGTCGGAAGATCCTCCTTTTCCGACCTTAAGGAACTTTACTCTCCGTTCCCTAAACGGTTATAAAATTTACTTATGAATTGTTTTGTTGTTGAAAATATTTAAATTATTCAAAAATTGGTATTGGACACCACATTCGCTACTTATCTAAAGTTTTCAGTATATATGTTTCTTTTAGTTTATTTAACCAATTACAAAGAATAAAATATACAATTAATATTAACTATTGTAACAATACACATCATCACGGGCGGGCGCAGCGCGTCATAGCCCTGCGTCACTGCCCCACCGAGCGCCCCACCGTGGACCGCCGCCGGCCGGCGGGCCTATATAAGACGGCCCGGCGCCATAACGCAAGTTAGTGTCCACTGCGCTCGCAGACAGCTTCAACCTCTCTGGTTGGACTGCTCTGGGAACCAGCTCGCCCACTAAATTGCATGTACTGTGTTTACGAACTAGTTGTTGATACTTTGTTAGTGTAACATTAACGCATTAAAGAAGATATTAAATATTTGTAATCAGTGTTTGAATTAAACCTGTTACAAACTGGCGCACAACGTAAGCCCGAATCCAGGCACCAAAGTCAAGAATTTACGACCACTTCCACATCGAAACCTCAAAATGGCAATGTCAAATGAACAGTTCCAACAGTTACTGAGTACGATCCTGGCAAGCAAACGGGGAACGTTTGCGTCCTGCAGCAATGTCACGTACAGCGGGAAAAAGGATACGGATGCAGTTGAAGCGTTCATAGCCGCAGCAACTGTTTACAAAACGGCAGAAGGGATTAGCGACGTCGACGCGTTACAAGGTCTTCCACTACTGCTTACAGACGAAGCGGCAATATGGTGGCAAGGAGTGAAAAGCAGCGTATCGCAGTGGGAAGTTTTTTGTGAAAAACTGCGACACACGTTTGCTCCCAAAAAACCTGCATACATGGTGTGTCATCAAATAACACATGAAACACAAGAAGGCAGTATAACAACAGAGGCATTTATCGCAAAAAAGCGGGCAATGTTTGCCTTGCTACCACCACCAAAACTTACTGAAACGCAACAAATAGACCTCATCTTTGCGCTAATTCGCCTCGAAGTGAGGAACCGAATGCCAAGAGACTCGGTGCCAACATTCGATAAACTATTGGAAACAGCACGTGGAATCGAGGAAACGTTACAAGAATATGCAGTGAGCTCAAAATGTGCAGAACTCAGCGTAAATAATAATCCTCAAGGCAAGAAACCCAAGCAGAAGTGCACTTTCTGCAAAAACCCCGGTCATACAGCGGACGTGTGCAGGAAGAAGAAACGGGCTGAGGGCACTCTCTCCGTCCCTGTAAAGGAGGTGTCGGAAATTCAAACTCAAGCGCCATCTCCTTCTCAGCCAAAGTTTTCATGCTACGGATGCGGCGCACCCGGAGTATATCGTAGTAGCTGCACTACGTGCAACAAGCACGCAGCGCCAGTCAAGAAGGAAGACGTTAGTTTCTGCGCAATCAACGTTCGGGCGGAGGAACATGAACGACCAGTTGTGTTCCTTGAAATTGAGGGGATTAAAGGAACCGCCTACATTGACACATGCGCAAAAATGAGTGTTGCCAGCTACTCGCTATTCTTGGTCCTGC